GATCCTCCTACTTCAGCCTCCCAAGTAGCTGGGACCAGAGGCGTGTGCCACCCTGCCCGGCTAATATTTTAATTTTTTGTAGAGATGGGGTCTTAAACTCCTGGCCTCAAGCAGTTCTCTGCCTCCACTTCCCAAAGCACTGGGATTGCAGCTGTGAACCCCTGTGCTTGGCCCACAGTGCCTGATTGAGTACTATAGTCATGCAAAAGTCAGATGCCCATATGTTAAAAAAAAAAAATGTACTTGGGACTACTGCATTGGGAAAGGGTTTAACATTATGACCTGAGAATTACTGTTGCGGTTTTATGCCCACATGACTAAGATGTCTATTTTCTTTTTATGTTGTTCCTATCAACATGAAGACTACCTTGTAGAGCTTTCAAATGTCAGCGACAGAAATATAAGAAAGAGAGGGAAGTGGGACTATTAAGGACCAAATACTTCACATACTTAACTCATTTTATATTCACAAATCTGTTATGAGTTATAGGTGGTTAGTCGTCATCCTCATTTTACAAAAAAGGAACCGAGGCTTAGAAAGGTTATGTGACTTGTCCTCCCAACAGTAACATGTAAATATACTATTTTTAAAAATGCTTTTCCTTGATTGTTTTTCATGGTTGACTCTTTTGACCCATATGGAATTTATTACATTATCAAGCATGACTCAAAAATCATTCTTCTCCATAGTGCTGTGCTGTTCAGTGATAGAAACAGTATTCGCAAACGAGTAACACTTAGTAATGAAGATTGCTTTGTATTACATGAATGTTCCTCTTGCTCTTGTCATATGGCAAGATACAGTCTGAGTAGATGCCTTCCCACTTCAACACTGATTGGTATACCTTGACATTGCCCTGAACTTGCTGAGATAAATATCCACTTAAAAACAAAAAAGCTCATGTTTATCCTTTACTACTGGTTGCCCTAGAAAGTGTCTCAAAGCAAGAAAGAGGACCCTATGAAAAACCCTATGAAAAATTATAAAAATATGATTATTTTTATAATTAAACATGTACATGATTTACATTTGTGATTATGGAGAATTTATTTTATTTATATTAAACTTCATGTTTATTAACTATTATTTAGCCGTTACCTTGTAAAATATCTGTAGACACAAATCTAAGTTTCTGGATGAGTATCTGTGAAATGAAGATAAATGTAGTAGTAAGGGGAAGTGAGAAGTAAAATTTCATGCTTTTATGAGGGGAAAGTGCATGAATTGAAATCACTTTTGGCCAATTTGTGGTAATTTTCCTGGTCCTATGCCTGGCAGATTTAGAAAGTAAAAAAATCTATATATGAAATAAAAACAACTCTTCTCCTACCACTCATGTAACCTTGGAGAGGTGTTAACTGTACACAAGATGTGTTATAGAGGGGAAATTAAATATTAAAGCCTGTTTTATTCTTTACTCATAAAAAAGTAAAGTAATCATAATGTGAGCCAAAAAACTAACTGTCTGTTTGTTTCTTTAGGATGGATTGGATGCTTTGGTATATGATTTGGATTTTCCTGCCTTAAGAAAAAACAAAAATATTGACAACTTTTTAAGCAGATGTAAGTAATTTTTTGTGGAGGTTCATAACAGACTGCATATAACTACTTCTTGACTTAGATCATTCAAACCCTTCCTTTTTTCCCCCATCTGTTTACTTTTTGGTTATTTCATTAGTAATTCCTACATAAAATTAGTAGGAAATGTGAAAGAAACTTTATTAGCCAGTTTGGATATCTATCAGGAGAATCTACAAAATATTTTGAAGAGAAAGGGACGAAAAATAAATAGCTAACACAAAATATGCATATGTACACATGCACATTGAGTTTCAATAATGTTGTATTTGTACTCTATTTTTCTTTTATAAATGAATTGACTATTCTATTTTGAAGCCAGCAAATAAGAATAGATTACATATGAAAAACCTTCCTACCGCTGAGATACGGGAATTTTTCTCCATGAAAACTGTCTTAAGTTTTATAGATGTTCGTTTTTTTTTTTTTTTTTGAGACGGAGTCTCACTCTGTTGCCAAGGCTGGAGTGCAGTGGTGCAATCATAGCTCACTGCAACCTCACACTCCTGGGCTCAAGCGATCCTCCTGCTTCCCCCTCCCAAGTAGCTGGGACTACAGGCATGTACCACCACTCCTGGCTAATTTTTCTATATTTTGTAGGGACTGGGTCTCGCTGTGTTGTCCAGGCTGGTCTTGAACTGCTGGCCTCAAACTATCTTCCCACCTTGGCCTCCCAAAGTGATGGCATTACAGGTGTAAGCCACTGTGTGTGGCCTGTTTATTTAATTTTTGACTATAATTGTTCTGGGGAGCATTATTTATTTATTTTTGACTATAATTGTTCTGGGGAGCATTGACATGGGTGTCACACTGGTTAAAACAGATTTAAATTGTATTTAATATTAGTTTGTTAAAATTCCCTAAGGAAATTGTTTCCATTTTTATATCAGTGCTTAATTTTGAGAAATTCCTTACTTCTTTATTTAGTGAAGGAATTTGTTTAAAACAACATTCTACTATTTATACCAAAAATATTTTATTTAAATGGTACATCCTCTATTACCAAAATTTGGCAGTATTCTCGTAGTATCAGTGGTCAGCCTATTTTAGACGTAGTTTGGTTTTCAGAAGCTCTGGTTTTGCTGCCATAGTTTCAATGAATTTTTTTTTTTTTTTGTAGTTTCTCCAAAAATGTTTCTATTAGGTTTTGAATAGTAACCATTTAGATTTTGAAAATTTACTTAAAGATGAATGTTTCTTATGATAGTATACTGGCTTTCCTAGTGCCATATCATTCTCATACTTTATAACACATGTGTTATTACTAATGGACTTAATCCTAAGTGGTGTTTTACATGGAACTCTTATTTTTGTAATTCTGAACTCTCCAGTAAACTAAAGTTTGCAGCAGTGTTCAGTTGAATAATTTTTTTCCGCTCTTTTGCTTTACCTCTCTTGTGAGGTAACACAACTGCCCCCCCCACACATATCAGTGTTTCTCAGGAAATGTAAAATTTTTATGCTTTAGAGATTATTATAAAATGTTATACTTGTAATTAATTGTGTCTGTCTTTGGGTGTATATGTGAAAATACTTCTCTTAATGTGATTAGCTTCTTCGAAAATATAACTACTACAGCAGGTCTGCCAGTTTTCAACTATTAGTAGCAAAAAATTTTATAATTGTAATTTTTTTGATATCACTTGGCCCCAGTGGTGCTATCATAGCTCACTATAACCTTGAACTCCTGGACTCAAGGGATCCTCCTACTTCAGCCTCCCAAGTAGCTGGGAC